ATTAACCCTTCAAATAGTAACATTTTTCAAATTACCAATCACACTACTTATTTTTGTTTGCACTGCCCTTAAAATGGCAGACATAACATAGTTAATTTTGAACCCTCAAAAATCTATTTCACTAGTCAGATAACATTGTTTCAAGTTACAGTGCCCTGTAGGAGTTACCTGGTGATTTCATCCCCTATATTTCAGATATAGTCTTTATTTATCCATACACAAACATATTCATTTAATAGTGAATGAGAGATCACACTGAAACTGTTGTGCATATGCTGCACAATATGGGATTTGATTATATGCATATAATAAAGCTCTATATTAAACTCTCAATATTGTTAAAGGTAATACAAATCATCATGCATGGAAAAGATGTTTTATACACATAATGGAACATATAATGCTTATAAATTAATAGACATGAGATTATTAAATCCATATATAGAACAAATGTACACATATTGTTGTATTAATATATATACATAAGTAAAACAATGCATTTGTATATTTTAAGGGTAGGTTTCATATAGTTTTATAGCTTACATTTTTATATTTTTTGATGGACAGGATTCTTGTGAAAAACGGATAGTTTAACATTTTATTATAGACTCTTAAAAAAAATCATCCAGCTCTATTAAATACTGATCCATATACATATCTTTCATTGATAATTATTCTGTATCAGTATATAATATTGTATCTTTCAGACTGATAAATATTATTCTGAAACTTAACAAAATAATGATGTTGCTTAACAATAAATTACCAATCTACAGGATAGTTGTGTTTTTTCTGAAAACCTGTGCAACCTATTTTTAGCTGATAGTTCTTTCTTAAATTAGAAGACAGACACTGGCTGTATTAAATAAAATAAAGCAGAGCTTCAGAAAGGCAGTCCAGCTTTCAGTAAGGTGGATGAGGCTAAGAATAAGAATTTCCATTAACTACAAGTGCTGCATTGGATTAAGAGCTTTTAAAGCTTCTCAGTGTTTACCCAATAGACTGAAGTCTGGTCCAGTAAAATCCAATACCCAAAGGGAGAGCTCTGTTTCTGTTGTAAGGGGGCACACAAATATCCTATGTTCCCAAATATGAATTTTGTCCTATTCCTGTTATTTCAATTGGTGTGCCCCTGGATAACCAAAATGACTCTGGGTAGCTGCACTGACTATGTTGAACACACAGTCACGCTCCCATTTCTCACTGTCAAAGATATCTGGTGATCTAATGTGGAAAGTTCAGAGTGCTGTGTCACAGTGAACGTATTTGGTTTCTTTGGAACTAGGCCATCCTTAGCTTAGTCTTTTCCAAATAACAACATTTCTTATTAATAGGGTTCTTCACATGGCCATGGATTATTGATAGTTCTTGAGAGTTATGTAGAAAGCTGCATGCTATCCTACACTATGTGGCAGCTGAACTATTTAGCAATAGAGTTTAACTCTGCTACAGGCCCTCGAGCTAATGCCCAAACACCAACTTTTCTCAGATTGTTGTCAGAGAAGAATTTCGGAGTAAAGCTGGGTCTTGAAAACCTGATCTGGGGAACAACACGTGGATTCTGGTATTTAGCTCAAGGGATGATCACATGCGTTGCAAAAACCCCGGTGTTGCCTGTGATGTTGTAATTAGCCACCCTGCCTTCATCTGCACTAAGCAGAATTGGAAAACACTTGATCAACATGTTAGCTGGCACATTCAAATAGTACACTTAGTCTAAACTGGGCCTTAAGACCTGATCCAAAGCCCAGGGAAAGCAATGGGAGAGTGCCCATTGATTTCACTGGCTCTGGGTCACGTCATTAAAATCTGTGGAAGGTCTTTACAGTACTTAAAGAGATCTTTAAAAAGTGAGAATTTATTACTGTCTCCTGATCTCTCCCTGCCCTCTGCCCAAAAATTAAGCCTCACCCACAATCCCCACTCCCATCTATTCTGCATTCACTTCTGTTCTGAGATCATAGCACTTTGACCCCACAGTTTCATCTTTGCTTCTGCTTGTGATCTTCATTTCCCTTTCCCAGGGTTAGAGGTGCAAGTACAACAGGGTGCACCTTCCTGGCAGGAGGGGGAAACTCTAGAGACCCTTTAGACCCTCTCCAGGCCCAGCATTGCAGAGAGGGAAAGCAAAGGGGTGGGTAGGAAAGGATCTATCCTGTCCGTCATACCAGGGACAAGAGAAAAGACAGGAATTCAGGGGCACTTCCTGTTCCCTCTTCTTATCTCCCCTCCTGCAAGAATGGGAGGTGTGGTGAGTTCTACCCTGCCTCTGAATTGGGGTGGGGTAGATTGTATGAAAACACATGCCACTCAGTGGCTTGGCTTGCTATTTAGAAACTGATTTTCTGAGACTGTGACCCATTGCAATTTAAGCACTGGGCAATGGATCTCCTTACTCACGTAACATGAATGGCACGGTTCCTGGGGGAGATCAGTCATCCAGTACTCTCTAGTTGGGGTGGGGGGGATCAAGGTGGTCCAAATTTATCCAGGATAGAGTAGTTGTGTTAGTATGACATAGTGCAGTTATAGAGAGATGAGACTAGAAAGTGAAGATAGGCAAAAATTCAATCTTTACAATCTTTCAGGGATGCTTTATTCACACTGCATTTTTCCCATGGACTTGTTTTAGAGGCCTAGTTAAATTTTTACACATCTCCTATGCAGCCCCAAATTTATAAATATTGCTAGAGGTCTCCAGCCAAAATTGTGGAAGATGGTCATAGTAAATTTTGTAGAACTGGCATTGGAAATATACTTCTTCTGTTAATGTAAAGATTAATTCAAGAAACAAATGTTTTCTGTAATCACAAAGATTTGGGGTAAAAATGTAAACAGTATCTAGGTCCTATTGGGTTTTGAAAATTTTACCTGTTGCTTAAAATACAAAAGAATGTACGAGGATAACCAATAAATCTGTGCATAGAATACAACTGCATAAGGGGGATCCTTATTTAGTTGAATCTGCATTTGCATGGATGGATTCTTTCCTGGCCAAGAAAGTTGAGGGCTCTGTACCCAAAATAACAATTTAAGAAGTAGGATCTTTGTGTTTCAGTCACGACGATTGCATCGTACATGTAAGGGAAGACTCATGAACTCGATTGCCAAAAAGAATTGTAATATGGAATTTCTTTCCATATTTTGGTATTTACATACCCTAAAAACAAGATTCTAGATAGTACATTGTGAAACAGAGAAATGATTTATGAGGTCCATCAGGAGTTAAGATTTAATCATTCTAATGCAAAGAGAAGGGCTGGGTAATCATGCCTTTGAAAATTTAGCACCATGAGCTTGCTTGTTCTCACTCAGCTCCCCAGCGTTGTCTCTAAGCTATAAGAACTCAGAGGCTGATTTGTGACAACTCTAAAGAGGCTTGGATGAAACTCCAATTAGTAGATTCTTATATGGCAAGAACATTTTCAGATTTTGGAAAACTGTCATCATTAAAAATTAACCCACAATAACATTTTAAAATGTCATATTCTGGAAGAAAAAAATGAAAAATGTGTGGCGGGTCAAATGTGACAGCTGAAACAGATAAAAAAAAAATATGCAGATGGAGTAGGCAAGAAATGCTATGAGGGGTAAGAGAGGCAGCTGGGAGATTTAAAAGAGATCGCCAAAGAGCAGCTGAAAGACACCAGGAGTCTGTTGGAGAGCGTGTCTGGGAGTTAAGTGGCTCTGTGTGTGATGAGAAATGTGCCAAAATGATAAAAAAAAAAACAGCTGTAGAAAAACAAAAGACTCCCCCAAAAAACAGAATTTCAAAGCTTTTAACGTACTAGTGGATGGTCACATTTTATTAACAATATGAAATGAGTCAGTAGGTTAATTATCCCTCTGTCCATGCTCTCCTTTCTTGTCTGAAATCAATCTAACCTTCTCTCTTTGTTTTCACAAAGAAACCCCCCTCTTCTAAGAACATGTCTAGACCAGATTGGCAGTGGGTCTTGTGGAGGAGAGGACTGAGCGTACCCTGTCCTCCAAAGTTTGCTGGAAGTTTGCCTAGGAGCCTGCTCCTGATTCATCCCTCATGGCTTCTCTCAAACCAGAGACAGTAATGTAACTAGGCCAGGGCAAGTGGGGCACCAGCCTCAGGCACTTACTAAGTGGGGTCACCAGAATCGCCCCGGGAGTCTTTGCCATAGCATGGGCAGCCCTGTGCTGCCCTGCCCGGCCACAGGAGCTGGGCAGGGTAGTGCCACAGCAGGTAGTGCATCTTGGGGGGGTAGGGGAAGGGGAAATTAATGGAATGGTACTCCCGCCACCCTTCCCAGGGAGCCTCGGTCAGAGCAGGCACAGCTCTGCTCCCAAGATGTATGTATCAGGGAGGAGTTGAGGGGAAAGGGAGCGAATGGGGCACCAGGATCAGTTCCTAGGGAGCCAAGTCACAGAGCTGCTGCCACCTGAGTGTAGGTGATGCTGCTATGGCAGCAGTGGTGGCACCCTTCTCCCACAAGTCTACAGCGGTCAGCATACCTCCACATGCACTCCCTCTCCCTGCTCTGGGCATTCAAGCTGTGTGCTACACCTTTGGACTGAGGGCTTGAAAGCAGGCACTAGGGTTGGGGCTGGAGTAGGCTTGTGGGCAAAATTCTGGCTCAGGGCAGTTGACTCAGGTAAGTAGGAGGTAGTCAGTCCTACCTTCTCTGGGATTGATCACTGCCACTGTACAGAAAAGCCCTGAGACACCTCCTTTTCTCTGCTGGTCCATGCTCTGGTTTCCCAGTGTGCTTCTGCATTATTCTACTGGTGACATCATGTTCCTAGATACTTTCTCTGAAGTCCAATCGAGTCCTTAGAGACTAATATTCAGTTTTATACCCAGCCCTTTCACAGCTTCCTGGTGTTCATGTCTCATTTCCTGGCCAGCTCCCACCTGTCATTTGCACTGCGTCAGTTGTAATAGCAAAGCATCTTTCTTTTGGAAG